CGGTGCGGGGCGGGATCCGCGCCCCGGGTGCGAAGCGGGGGCAGCGCCGGGGCCTGACCCGGGGGGTAGCGGGGAGGTTAAGGGGACGGGTGTCGGGGCACACCGGTGGGGTCCCGCCGTCGGCGGGGGGCTGCGTGCCCCGGGGGCACGGCGGCTGGGGCCGGGGAGGCGGTGCGGGGATTCAAGATGGTCTCTGGGAAGGGAAGGAGCCCGGTGCGGGGGGCTCGGCGGGGGCTGCGGGGCGGAGTGGGAAGGGAAGGTTTGCCCTAAGTGAGGAGAGAGTTCGGCGTTTTGAGGGCTGAGGGAAGATGATTATTCTTTTTTCCTAGTGCGCTGTAACCAGGTCTTTCTCTTGGAAAACTGTGGAGTGGAAAATGCCTCGAATTTCACAATTGCATGCAAATATGCATTAATGTTATCCAGATTCTTTCACTTAGGGACTTACCAAAAGCTGCTCCCTCAGTAAGTGTGAGACCGTGCAAGCGTTTATGTATTTGTTTAAACCTAGGCATGTGCTTTTTTTTTAAAGCTAAGCATCTAAGTTCTGCCATTTTTCGGGCTTCCGTTGACTTCAATGGGATTACTTATGGGTTTAAGAACTTCTAGTATGATTGTGCAGGATCAAGCTCCTTTTGAAGACAAGACAAGACGTGTTAATTAAAAATATAGTCAGCTTGTTCTGATAAGGCAAAGACAATTAGCCCTCTTGATAAGCAGCTAAAAACTCAAATTATCTAAAGAATGACTTTTTTTTTTTTTTTCAATTAGGCGCTATTATTGGAGAAATAGCCTTTGATAAGACCATATTTTCACATAAAATTGTGAGGCTCTTTTTATAGGTTGTTTCTCTCTGCAACTTTCCTATAGAAGGGAAGGGATTGGAAGCTGCATTCCTGAAAAAATACTCGCCATTCTTACAGTGAATCTCGCCCTCTTTTTTAAAAAATGAAATGTTTCGTCATGTTCAGGCTGCTTCTCTAATCTTCCAACACCAGTTATCTAAGGCTTTTCTCAAAACTGGCTTGAGTTTGTACATTATTTTCTTCATTAAAAAGCAATTTTTTCTTTTGACTTTCAGTGCCAAAACCTTGATGCAGTAAATCAGTTGAGGTTTGGAGATGGGGGGAGTCATGCTGCAGGAGCTATGCTCTGTTTCTTCCTCTCTTCCCCCAGTATTAAGAAGGTGTCATAACAGAGCGTGGTGCTAGATAGAGCAGGTAAAATAACAGCGCTCCATTTCCAAATGTTCAGCAAGTCCTGAGGGCTGTAATCAATGCAAGTTTTCAGATTAAGCCTGGTAGGAAGTGATGCACAGTTCAGACATGATAGGAGAAGCTTAGGGAAGTGACTCAGGTTTAGAAGACCATTTATTCTGTAGTGTGCCTTCTAGTTTTTGCTGCACCCAGTCCAGCTTTGCTGCAGATGTGATGCTGTCACATACAAATGCTGTATGAATCAGTGCTGATGTGGGACCATCAACCTCTTCTAACTTCCATCTCATACAGGAGACAAGGATAGTCTTCTTTTTCTCTTCTAGTCTGGCAGGGCTATGCCAGCCAGCGTGAAGGCAGCATGGAAACGTGCCGGTTCCTTGTTGCCTGTCTCAGCTTGGCCTGCCTACTTGGCCTTTGAGATGATTTGGGATGCCCACAGGATGAGTGCTTAAATGGGCCTATAAAGCTTGAGGTTTGGCTCCCCTTTCTTGGTTTCATTTGACTGGGTAGTAACGTGACCTGCAATGAAACTATCTAGGCCATTTGGGATTTGCCAAATAAACACTGGGCTTGTTGTCAAACTGTATTGGCTGGCGCATGCAAGCAAGTTAAGTAGTGCCAACAGGTATTGAGTTGATACAGATACAGGAATTTTCCTAATTTGGTGAGGATTCCCTTTGAAAGGAGAAGAATTTGGTCATAGAACAGAAACAGATACTGAATAAGTGCTTCACTTTAAAGGTGCTTGTATTTGACATGCCTCCACAGTCACAGGTGCACTGAGGAAAGTGCATTCTTGCTAAGTGTTATGTTTTGGGGCAGGGAATGTTAACTCAGTGAAAGGGGTCCTATGGTAATAACGAAGTAATTGACATGCAACCACTTTTGGAATCCTTGCTCTGAGGACACTGCTAATTATACCCTTTTTTTACCAGCAGTTTAACAAGTAGTTCTTTGAACAGCCTTTCATATTAGATGTGGGATTGGTAAACTGGTGCACCCTCAGTGGCTAAAGGTAACAGCAGTGTGCATAGGCATGCAAGTTCAGTGTTTTTCCTTTAGGGCTAGTATTTTGCTTATGTTTACATCACACCATCTGCAGCAAGACTCACTTCAAACTCCGTTGGTCTGAATCATCTCCTTTAGAGTTATTAGGGACAAGAGATTCTTCTTAGGTTGCACATCAGCTGAGATGGGTTCTCATGCACTAAGTGCCGGCCAAAAGCTGCACAGTATTTCTTCTCCACACGTTGGAGTAAAAAAGGAATTGAGAATTTCTCACCCCACTCTGGGATAGGATGGCCTTATGACATCACACACAGGAAAGAATCCACTCATCTACTCTCGTCCACTGAGACCCATAGACCTCATCTGGTCCTCTGTGATTTCTTCTCACAAGAAGACCTTTTGGATGAAGTGTGAACTTCAGGCTCTTCTTTGAAATGAGGGACACCATAATCCTGCTTGTCTTGTATTTAATGTTTAAAAGCTGTTTTTCTATATTAGTCACAGAGCTAGAAAAATAAATGTTGTATGTAGTGCTTGGTTGGCAAAAAATTGTTTGAAGCATTGAAATATTTAAAGAGCAGAACACCCAATGGGACAGAAAATGAGCCCGTGCTGTAAAGCAGTGCAGTATGTAAAGAATCACTAGCCCCTGATGGTTACTGCTAATGTGATATTAATGTTTTTCTTGGGTAATGTAATATACCCACAGTATACAAGCACTATAACAATAACAGTTATAATCTTGGTTCTTGGCCAAGGCACCCAATTCAAATGGTGGAGTATGTTATAGAGAATACTGATTCTTTGTGATGTTCCAATGCTTTGTCAAT